GGGAGACGGCTGGTCAATGGTTATATGCCGCATTCTCAGCAATGATAGCCATCTTATACTACAGGGGTAGAGAGTCCAAACATGCCAATCGCTATTACAATTGTTGTACAGTTTGCCCCGCGCAGTGGAAGTTCGGCCTAAACATCCGACAAAACACCCGTGGACGCTCTGCAGCCATTTCCGGCGCCGATGCATGCGATTCCAAACCGACCTAATCCTATAAAAGACCAAGAGGTAGAAGTATCATGGGCAATTGTCAGGGTTGGCTACACCTTGACCGTTTCAATAAAATAATAATCTTATTCCGCATGATATTTCGCATGATATTCTGTTTTTTTTTCTATTTCATTTTATTCCATATCCAGATTCAAATTAGTTGATTTTCTCCAAGACGCATGTACCTACAGTACCTACAGTCCCCGAGCGCCACCTGCACCGCAAAAAAGCGACCAAAGCACACGAAGACGAGCATTGCCTCTGCTCACCACCCGCAATTCTATTCCCAATCCCACATCCCTCCTCCAATTCGGGATCTGCGCTAATACTCATTGAGGGGGATTGCTCGTGTTAATCCTGCTGTATGACGAAAGGGGTAAGAATGTTTCTCGCTCTTCTGCCTTTGATTAAGTCCCGGTTGACCGGGAATGTGCCACGCGCTAGTCCCTTATTACTCTGTGTTAACGTCGAGCTGAATTTGCAATTTGGCTGTGCTGAATACCGGACATTAGACACCCGCGGACGAGGCGCTAGTGTACATGTTGTTTGTGCACAGGCACAGTGCGATGTAGTTTGATTTAGATCATTGTGCTCAGTTGATATCTAATATCTACTCCGTAGTGGTCTTGATGTTTGAGTACATATGTAAACACCAAAGGTGCTTGGTAGTAATTAATAATAAACTGGAATAGCCCTGTTAATATCTCTAAATCCCTGATTTCCACGTATGATTGTATACAAGTCCACAAATGGCGGCTCTCTTGTCTTGGAAAATCATTTATAGTCCATATTAAGGCAAAGTGCACGATCACAAACTACTAGATATTTGCCTATCATTGCCGAACAAAGCTAAACCACCTGTCCACCGATCTCATTTACTCGCGACTGGCTGAAGTCAACTAACTTTTCTACTTAGGTTTGCTTTTTTCTTCCCTCTCGTACTCTTAAGACTCGGCAGCCTTAAAAGCCGGTGACTGACGATGGTAGCCGCTGAGCCCACGTAGTCTGTTCGAGCATTTTTCCATGCACGGGTCCCGTTTTGTGTGCCTTGAACCAGCGGGATAGTCAGCTCCATCGGGATAGGGCATAGTCTGCGCTTAGACATGGACCTCCCGTTAATAGCCAGACATATATCTACTGTGTGTTAATACTCGTCCCATATAATTTTAGTTTACCCAGCTATTATTTCATCCACAAGTGGTAGGTACCTAGGTACGTTACTAAGGTTAATAAGCAGTCAGAACGCTCAGGGCATGCCTAGTGAGTACTCAGAACAACCATGGAGATGAGACCGGTTTACCTACCCATTTGTCTGCCTGGATTAAATAATTCATCTTAGATAGTTTATGGTACAGATGACAAAAAGGCTGCCAGGCGCTTCTCCGTAGTTGGTATTCTGCACATAGGGTGCATTGATGATTCAGACATGACGGGTAAATCAGTCATTGTATAGCTTTCTTGATCTTCCGATTTGTGACCCTAGGATACTCGAGTTATATATGATATCATGAACAGTCAAGATCATGTGAGTCCTAGTATTCTAGAAATGTGACACGACTCTCATTACATCCATTAGACGTAAGATCTACCGCTTTAGGGGTTGTCTAGGCTTGAGTAGGAATTAATATACTACATGTATATTTAATTCACTCACGTAAGTGTGACCTAGCGCGCGGATAGACAAGTACGGACTTGAATTGCATTTAACTCCTTATTTCAATTACGTTTGGTATAAGGAGGCCAAGTTTCCGCCTGCTGTGATTGCTGGCGCGAATCTTCTACCAAGGCCATAATGACTTTTGCTCTTTGTTCATCAAGAACTCCTTATCTCAATCAATTCGTGTTACGCATTGCTCAGAGACGTGGAATTGCAACAGCTACCACAATGACACCCCGTATCATCGACACGATCAAAAAGGATCACCGGGAGATTGAATCATATTATGGCAAGATAATTACCTCCAAGGACGAGGATGAACAGACCCGCTTCCAGAATCTGTTTACCTGGGAACTAGCTCGACACTCCATTGGAGAAGAACTTCTTATTTATCCTCTCTTTGAAAAACTGATCCCCAATGGTGTGGCAATGGCCGATAAGGACCGTGAGCAGCACCTGAAAGTAAGTCAAGTCTCTCTGCTACCTATCATGGTTCTAACATGGCGTAATGGATATAGGTCAAAGTGCAACTGAAGGCGTTCCAAAACATGACACCTTCAGATACGCAGTTTGTTCCCACTATCAGGGAGCTGATGGAGAACCTTGCCGAGCATATCAAAGAGGAGGAGAGTGACGATTTGCCTAGACTGGAGCAAGCCCTATCTCAAGAGGATAGTGAGAGCTGCTCTAAGAGCTTTGGCCGAACTAAGATGTTCATCCCGTCACGTTCTCACCCTAGTGCACCAGACAAGCCTCCTTACGAGACAGCCGTGGGGCTTCTCACGGCTCCGATCGATCATCTCGCCGACCTCTTCCGTAAGTGGCCTGATACATCAGGGATGCCTAATCCCTCTTCGAAATAAAAGTGCTGGTATGAGTCTTGCAGGCTGCATACATATTGTTGAAATTCTTTCCCGAACATTGTGTACTTAGGATGCTGTTGATTGACTATATATCAATCAATGTTGATTTATTGGTTAGCTTATTATTTACTTCTGATTGAGGCGATGGTCCATAAATTTGGGTTAAGTTATACAATCCACAATTACGGTGACGTGATGAGAATCGACATAGACTCTGGTCTGGTTCATTGACACCAGACCAGTCTAGTGCAATACCAGTACCTCTTGCCTTCATTCGATTAACTTCTGTACCCCCGAGACGACCCAGAGATCAGGTCAGGTCAGGTCAGGTCTAGAAAGACACACCGGTGGACTCGTGCAAGCGATGAATCGCCTAGATCACATTTCTCTAGTGATTCTGTCGTGTATCACTGATATTCATCATTCAAGCCAATGTTGCTCATTCATTTCGTGACTTTGATACGTGTCCTTAAACACCTAGATGTACATACCTAATCCTAAGTACATACTGTCCATGATCATATGTTCCATGCTCATCTACCATGCTGGGTTTGAACATGTTGAACATTTGACTTTGCCGTTGTATTCAACCAAAAATGACATATAATGCAGAGGCACTTTGATCTATTCTTTGACAACTAAATATACATTTACATCATAGTGACACAGATTCCTTCCACACGAAGCTCCTGTTCTTAAGCCTACTTACACATATGAGAGCAGTAGAACTTGGCCCCACTATTCTCTTGTCATTGTACATAATATTCCTTGAAACTTCCCCAGATGGATCGTGGTGAAGCCATGGGAAAGTGTTCAGTGGAGGCAACATTGAAATATGGCAAGCTGGGGTTGAATAGACGTCAAGGTGACTCCATCCCATCAAGCCACCTCGTGGCGTTGGATATAGTCAGATATATAAATACGCAGTGAATTTACCATAGAAATCATACAATTCAATACATACTTCAAAGCTATCTGCAACCACATATTACTACTTCGTACATACTATCACAATGGTCGATAACCCCAACCCTGGTAACTTCCACAACCGACCTCACGAAGAGGTCGAGCAAATTGCTCGAAAGGGTGGACAGTCTAGCCATCACAGTGGATTTGCCTCTATGGATACCAATAAGCAGGTTAGTAAAAGCAGCTTCTTATCTATTTTGATATAGCAACTTACACTTTAAAAAAAAGAGAGACATTGCCTCGAAGGGCGGCCACGCTTCACGTGGAAAATTCGAGCCAGGAAGCCCTAGAGCCAAGGAGGCAGGTCGGAAGGGAGGTCGATCTGTCCACCAGCAGCCGGAAGAATAAGGTTGATCATGTTTTTTTATCATCGTCGCAGCTGGCAAGTTGTTAGCCTCAGCTACTATGTACCCTTTAGCTGTATGGTGAAAAGAATCAAATGAACTTTGTCTGTTGCCTGAAGTGATATACATTCGTTTACGATCTCCGCTTCAATGGTAAAATTAGGGCTTCTCGCCTAAGTCTTTTACATTTGCCTGATCCCCATATAAAAGAGATAGACCTTACGTAGAAGCTGTTTGATTCTATTACTTTGCGGGGAAAAACACACTTAGGGGCCGTTGTCAAGATTGAATTTATGCATGTGTTAAGGTGCTCTGAGACACATCTGATACCCACTCTCGTTGAAGGCCCACAGGGGAAATCTTGATAACGTCAAATTCTGAGATTGAAGGTGATCAAGTTACTCAAGTATGTTAGAGGTAATTAAATTAATTAAATTAATTAAATTAATCCTGTTAATCAAAGCAAGTTTTAATGCTACCGCCTGGGGAATAATTTACAACATAACTAGTTAGTTAGTGTATCCTCACATGAAAAAAACACGCAATCACCCACCGTTGCCGAGCAACGAAGTTCCCGCGTCGATCTACGTCTCGGTCCATTAAGTTTCTCTGTTCCCTCTTTCTTTGTTTAGAGCGACCAAATAAGGTCGGGTGAATAAAAAACATTAAAAGTGATTCTTGGTACTGGTAATGATTGGTCTGGTAATATAGAGAGAGAGAGAGGCCCAGCTCGGATCGTAAACAAGTTTGCTAACACTTCTACAATGTTACCCCTTCAATACCTCCTTGCTTCTCTACCTTTCAATGTTTCCTTATTGATATTGACGCGTTTGATGTTAACTGTCAAAATTTAACTACATTGCACTGTCCGAAAATAGATATTCGCGTGGCACATGCCATGCTCGTCGATCCTGGCATGTATCCCTGCTCCTGATTGTCTCAGATCGCAACATGAAGCACCGAAAACCAAAGGCATTTCTGCTTGCGCTCCTTGCGCTAGTTGATCCCTCGACTGCAATCCCATACACTCCATCTTCCATCTTCCTTTCCCCACAACACAATGACTCCCTCGCGTACATCCTCCGACCTAGCTCCACTGGGCAAACCGAGTTTGTCTCCCTCAACCTATCCACCAGTATCGATGCCGAGAATCTATCTTACCAAACCCTGCTGAAGAGCACGCCGTTCAACAGTTCTGATCAGAATTCAAGCTTTGTTGCTGCCATCAATGAACAAGGCCTTATCACAGTCTACTCGGGCAACTGTCACAGCGCATCCGATAACCCGGTACTATGGCAGTTCCACCCAAACAGCAAAAGCTCAATTGGCAATGGAACTTGGGACAGACTGCCAGTCATTACCAGCGACGCAAAGACCGCACCGAACTACCTGACGGCAGCCTTCACGTATTCGACATCCCACCACGAAGATGAGAGCTCCATGTACGCTTTTGGTGGGATGTGTCCATTCGCCAACAGCACGGACGAAACATGGGTCTCGGCAGCCAACTATTCCCAGTCAACGGTCGTGTTAGGGCCGAGCCCCTACTATAACACCAAGTTCACCGCTGCCACTACCGGAAAGCGCGCACCGCCCGTCGCTGAAGCTGGAATGGCCGTCGTGCCGCTCCAGCCTACCTATGCTGCCGGGTCTACGGGGAAACAGCAGGACTTTTTGTTTCTTGGTGGTCATACCAAGCAGGCGTTCCTTAATATGTCACAACTTGCCATTTTCTCGCTGCCGCAGCAAAGCTGGAGCTTTGTTTCTGCAACCTCGAATTCGACACCAAAGACTGAGCTGACTGCTCGGGATATGGTTTCCATTGAGCCCCGTTCCGGCCACACCGCGGTTCTCTCGGAAGATGGCAATAGAGTGTTTGTATTTGGAGGTTGGGTGGGCGATATGAGTATCCCTGCCGAGCCGCAATTTGCAGTTCTGGAGCTTGCAGAAGGGTTTGGCGGGGCCACAGAATGGATTTGGACAGCACCCTCTTTTGAAGGATTGGGGATCGCGAAGGGAGCTGGAATCTTTGGACATGGAGCGGCAATGCTCCCTGGGGGCGTCATGATGATTTCTGGGGGCTACAATATCCCGAAACCATCCTCGAAACGGGCCTCAGCGACTGTGCAGTCCAACTCGCGAGTCTATCTCTACAATGTGACTTCGAGCAGCTGGGTCACCTCTTACCGCAATCCTGCAGCCAGTTCATCGAATGCGTCCTCCAATTCTGGCAAGCTTTCATCATCCCAAAAGGCCGGCTTAGGGGTTGGATTGGGTATTGGATGCCCCGCTGCTGCGGCCATCATTTTGTGCGGATGGAACTACTACCGAAAGCGCCGCGTAAAGGGCAAGCGAGACTCGCAGCTACGGGAACTTGCTTTGGGAGCAGAACGAGCTCACTTCTGGGCCCGAGATTGTCCAACCCAAGCAAGTAGCATTCGGAGTTCTGGAATGAGCCAAAAAAGAGATGCCTCCATGTATCCTTGGTCGGCAAATCATAGCCAGACGACACGACCAAACTGGAAGGAACAGGGCGAAGGCACGGCAGAGAAGACTGGCCTGCTGATGGACCCTACTAGTCCATTCAAGAATAACCGACCCCCTGTGGTACCTCCAGTGAACAATAGACCATTCTCATATCGAAACAGCGAATACAGGCGCGGTGATGTTACCGGTGATATCCACCCTATTGATGAACGCGAGGAAGATGAAGCGATCTTCCGAGAACATCTCATGGCAACCATCCCAGCTGAAACACGACCCACGGTTAATACGATGGAGCCCGAAGACCCCTTCTCAGATACCCCCTACGCAACTCCTCGGAGCACCATATTTGGCGTTGGCCTAGGTCCTTTCTACAGCCGGCGAAAGGATATTGGGTCTGTGGATGTCGAGTCCCCGACAAAAAGCGACCGAACAGCCACCAACTTGTCAGACATCTCAGCTTTCTCCTTCCCGTCCATCCAGCCTGTAGGCAAGGTCAACCAAGCACGAGGCATCGTTGTTGATCGACCTTTGAGCTGGGGCAGCGGGCGTCAGTCACTGGAATATATCGCCGCAGCCTCAACACACAGCGACCCAGACGGCGTAGCCCCCCTCGGTGAAATCAGTATCAGCGGATTCCTACTCTACAGCCCAGACAAACATGTCCCACCACCAGTCAGAGAACGAGTCCCTCCTATTCGACACCCTCGACCAAACCGCACCCTCATCCCCCTCAAAACTGCCCCGAGAATCCAAACCCAAAGCCTCAGACTGGGTAATGAACACCATGCGTCGAGCCCTAACAATGACCCGCCGTAGCCCCGACAGCGTGCTATGCTCCGATACCAATACAAATAGCACAGTGCACCATGCCTCCGGAATTGACCGCCGCAGCACGCTAAGCCAACAATCCACAGCCTCGAATCCTAGCACGCCGCGCCGAGCAGTCAGCGCTTCGGCAGAGTTATTCCGCCGCAAGCAGGGTGCCAAAGATTGGAACGCGAGCAAGCGTGTTTCTGACGATGTGTTCAACACTGCCCGGTCTACACGCGATGATCTTTTCATCGGTGCACCGGGATATCTAGGTAACGAAGCTGGCTTCGGGGATGACGAGGAAGATGTCTATGATTGGGACTTGGAGGGTGCTGCTGAAGGCAGACGGGTCCAGACCACCTTTACCGTTCCTCGAGAGAAACTCCGTGTCGTTAATGCTACCGCTGGCGATATTGATAGTATGTCTGAGCGCTCTGTTAGTTGGGCCACTGGGAACCGGAGGGTTAGTACCTAGCTAGATCTGAGATCTGAGATCTGGGATTTTGTTCTTTTCTCCTGATTGTCCTGTTCTCTCTCTCTCTCTCTCTCTCTTTTTACTTTCTCACTTGTACTTTTGCATGTTCCTTTTTTTGGGTGAGGTTTGGTGTCTGTATCTATGAGAGACACCGGGGATGTATTGTGTTACATTGCATTGCGTTGTTTGTACACAACTTGGGCGTGTGAGCTTTTGTTCGCTTCATTGGCGTCTTAACCTTTTTGTCTTGCCGTTCTTTTGTGGGTGGCTGCTGTTTTCTGTCGTTTTGATATCCACAGCGATGTTTGATGCCGTTCCGAGATGAGATGGTCCTGATGAATCGATGTTTCTCCTTTTTTTTATGCCTCTTCGCTAGAGAATAGCGTTTGTTGGATTAGGTAGCGAGTCCAAAATTGATGTCTTGCTTTATGATTTATTGAGCTTTTAGGAGTAACTGCAGTTCTTACATAGACAGCTTCATAAGCTACCTAGGTAGACATTTCTAGAAGATGAGGATATAGGGTATCCCAAGATTGGTAAATGCGTGAATATGACATCTATATAACGCTTTTGTAGCTCCATGATGTATCGAAGACATATATAGACTCAGACATGACCCTTCTTAATAACGCTTGCATATAACATTTTTAATATAACTTGTCAGGTTTCCACCCATCTACGACGAAGGAGCACCAGTTGCAGGGTGAGTGGGAATAGTCTGGGGCTTCCGGGGAAGCAAGTTCTTAGCACCCTCACGAGCATACTGAGCCATGAGAGCGTCCATGACAACGAGCGACGACATAGCCTCAACGATAGGGACAGCACGGGGGGTAACACAAGGATCATGACGACCCTTAGCCTCCAAGACACCCTCCTCACCGTCGTAAGTAGTAGTGGTCTGTGCCTGGCCGATAGTAGCAGCGGGCTTGAAGGCGACGCGGAAGTAGATGGACGCGCCGTTGGAGATACCACCCTGGATACCGCCAGAGTTGTTAGTCTTGGTAGTGAGACGGGGGCTGTCTGCGGTCTGATCGACGATGAAGGGGTCGTTGTGAGTTGAGCCAGGGACCTCGCAGCCGCCGAAACCGGAGCCAACCTCGAAGCCCTTGGTCGCGGGGATACTGAGCATGGCGTGGCCGAGCTTAGCTTCAAGCTTATCGAAGCAGGGCTCGCCAAGTCCAACTGGTACGTTGCGGATCACACATGTTACGGTTCCACCGATGCTGTCGTGGTTGTCGCGGAACTTCTCGATGACTTTGGTCATGCGCTCAGCGGCGGCGGTTTGCGGGCATCGGATGGGTGCGAAGGAGTCGACGGTTTGGCGGTCAATCGTCTCGATCAGCTTAAGGAACTCCGGGTTCGTGGAGGGGGAGGGGTGTTCGGGGGTCGGGGGGAAGAGGTGCTCATTGCCAACGGAGGAGACGAAGGCGACGATTTCGATGTTATGCGCCAGGCCGAGGAACTTCTCAGCAATAGCGCCGGCGGCGACACGGCCTGTGGGGGTTGGGTTAGCCAGAGTACTCTCGTTTCCGATGTTGATGGTTACACATAACGTACCAATGGTCTCACGGGCGCTGCTGCGACCACCGCCGCTGCTGGCCTTGACACCGTACTTCTCAAGGTAGGTGAAGTCGGCATGGCTAGGGCGGGGGTACAGGTCCATTGTGCTGTTGCCGTAGTCTTTAGGACGCTGGTCCTCATTGCGGACGACCATGGCAATTGGTGTGCCCAGAGTGATGCCGAACTCTGTGCCTGACTGGATCTCAACTCGGTCCTTCTCGTCTCGCGGGGTAGTAAGGGCGCTTTGGCCGGGACGGCGCCGGGTCATTTGAGGCTGGATGTCGGCCTCGGTGATTTCTAGGCCTGGAGGACATCCGTCGACGATACAGCCGACTGAGCGACAGTGAGACTCGCCATAACTGAATCGTGGGTGTTAGTAGTGATGTGTGTGGTGGGGGGGTGGGCAACTTACGTGGTGACACGGAAATATTGACCCCACGTCGACATGATGGGCGTTGAAAGATGGTCGCAAGGTAATGAAGTAAAAGTATAAGTTCAAAGACCCTGTTATCAACACAAACAGTAGAATTGGAAGAGAATACAAAGGTGGTGAAGTGACCGCAAGTAGAAAAAAAGGAAATTGGAAATCGACTCATCGCTGGAATTCTCATCTGGGACTAGCGCAGCCGACTATCGGCCCATAAACTTTCGTGATGCGATCAATAACTTCGTTTCACCCTTGCTCCAATGCTCGCCCTTCGAGGATATTCCTCGTCTTGGGCACTTTGGACTAACCCATTAAAAAATGGCTGGATTCGCCATAATTCATCATATCCCGCTCATCAATTCGCCGAGCTCGCCAGCCGTCCCTGCTCTTTACACCAGATCTACCAATCGTTATCAACAGATCCCTACGTGAACCTTTCGATCGAACACTTCCTATTAGAAAATGCCCCGGCAGAGTCTAGCATCTTGTTCCTTTATGCAAATCGGCCATGTGTAGTCATTGGTCGCAACCAGAACCCATGGCTTGAGACAGATCTCCGCACACTTCATAATGACCGCAGGAACGGCACGACGGGGGAGATGAAGCTGCAGTATTCGTGCGTCGGCGATCAGGCGGCGGGGCTGTCTTCCACGATGAAGGTAACCTAAATTACAGCGTTATATGCCCACGTACCTCGTTTACGCGTGACAAGCATGCCGAGATGGTGGTGCGCGCACTTCACCAGGTCGGGGCTAACAACACCAGTGTCAATGAGCGGCATGATATTGTCATGGCCCGAGCAGAGGGAATGCAAAATGATCCCAGCGAGCCTCTGACACGCAAGGTGTCTGGCTCTGCGTTTAAGCTCACTCGACACCGAGCCCTCCACCACGGCACTTGCTTGCTCGATTCCCCGAATATTCATGATCTTGGCCGGTACCTGCGATCCTCCGCCCGCCCGTATATCCTGGCCAAGGGCGTTGAGAGCGTTCGTTCTCCAGTCGGGAATGTCTCGGCTGCGCTAGAAGACTCGTTCTTTTCCATGCAGAGCGTGGTTCAGAGTGTGATCGAGCAGTTCGCTCGGCTCTACGAGGTACATCCCGATGCTGTTCTCAGGGCCCAACGTGCTCATGCAAATGAGCCTGAAGTCTTTGCTGGGGACTCTTGGGTTGCTGGTACAGTTGGAGAAGTACAGGGCGAGCAGGTGCCTGCCATTGGGAAAGGAATTGCCGAGTTACGCTCGTTGGAGTGGAAGTACACACAAACACCGCGCTTCACTTTCTCAACGTACCCCATCGAGGAAGATCCCCGTGAACGGCCGCCATTGCCCTCCTCGCTCCCCTCGAGTACTCGTGCATTCCTCCGCCTGCAGCATGGTGCTATCGTCGAAAGCCACATCTCTGTCTCACCCGACGAGTCCACCGCATCTGACCAAGCCAGTCGCGTCCATTCGACACTGAATGGACAGAAGCTGCACGAGATTACCTTGGCCCGGTGGACTGAGATCCTAAAGCAGGGTCTTGGTGAGACCGAAGGAGTCGATGATGCTCTTGTGAAAGGGCTGGCCCAATTCTTGGGTGGCCTTTTGGGGGGTTAATTGTCCAATTGCATTGATGCCGTGCAATCCGTGGCGTGTATAGTTATTGAATGCTCTTGGACCCTATGTACAATATAATACCATGATATCATATATGACAAGAGCCACATTATTGGTTGCGTTGCCTGTCTCCTTCATTGGTGGACGATAATTTCCCCACTTATCAGATTCAACAGCTCATTTCGGACAGACTAGCCTCTTGTCACTGATGATCTCTCCACGTTACGTCGACCGGCTAAATGCAACCCCCACGCCAGCCCCAGGATTCCCCCAGAACGACGCACAGTTCCAACTGGCTGAATCGGCATTCTCAGCGAGTTCCGATTCGCACCAAGATGACCTCTGTGATGACTATACATCGGCATAGTCACGCGAACGCCGGTATCAAGTGCCTATTAAGCAACTAACAATCAGCGATTAACCCGAAGCCAATATTTATAAAACCTACAACCACCCTATCAAACAAACAAAGCTACCATAACAGCTCAAACTCCTTATAACCTCCAAGCCTACAGACGTACCATGTCTATCCACGCTAACGGCCGAACCCCCTCACATGCCTTCAGCGAATCCCTGTTCCGGACCAGATCCGACCTACAAGAAGCATGTCGCGCTATTCTCGACCCGCTGGTGCCCCTCTTTACACCAGGCGGCACGCGTGTTAAAGTAGGCACGTCGACGACCCGATTCGACGAAGGCGGTGCCCAGATTGAGGGATACGCCCGTCCGCTATGGGGCCTGGCCTCGCTGCTAGGCGGCGAATATGAATACCCCGAGGCCGAGCGCTGGCGTCAGGGGATCATCAACGGGACCGATCCCGAACATCCGGAGTTCTGGGGTCATATCGAGGATATGGATCAGCGCATGGTGGAGATGTGTCCGATTGGGTTTGCGCTTGCTGTTGCGCCTCATGTCTTTTGGGATCCATTAACGGAGAAGGAGAGGGCGAATGTTGGTGGTTGGCTGGCGAGTATTAATGCGCGCGAGATGCCAAATACGAATTGGTATGTTATGGCTTGATCCAGCTTAGGATGGTCTCTTGTTGACGTGGATTGAATGAGTTGGCTAATTATGATTGGGGTGATTGTAGGTTGTGGTTCCGTGTATTTGCAAACTTGGGCCTCAGAAAGAATGGCGCTGAGTACTCTTTGTCTCGTATCGAGGCTGATATGGACCATCTTGACACCTTCCATGTTGGCGGAGGATGGAGCAATGATGGACCTAAGCGTCATCATCAGATGGATTACTACTCGGGCTCATTCGCCATTCAGTTCTTGCAGCTTCTTTATTCGAAGCTGGCGGGCGACTTTGATCCTGAGCGTGCTGAGCGCTATCGTCAGCGGGCACGAGAGTTTGCTGCAGATTTTGTGCACTACTTCGATCCTAACGGTATGTCCCGGGCTGGTCTTTCTGATATGATTCTCTCTCTTCTTTTAGTATGTGACTTAACCACTATCAAATAGGCAGCGCCATCCCATTCGGACGCTCTATGACCTATCGATTTGCCATGGTTGGATTCTGGGGTGCATTAGGCTTCGCAGATGTCGAATTACCGGAACCACTGACATGGGGTGTGGTGAGGGGGATTGTCCTTCGCCATTTCCGGTGGTGGTCTACGCAATGTGACATGTTCAACAACGATGGCACGTTGAGTCTCGGATACTCATACGCTAATATGTACCTGACGGAGAATTACAATTCCCCCGGGTCACCGTACTGGTGCTGTCTCTCGTTCACCCCACTAGCACTACCGGAGACACATCCCTTCTGGTCCGCGCAAGAGGAGCCTTACCCAAATTCCTCTTTGCCTGAAGTGGTAGCCCTCAAATACCCCAAACATATTGCCATCCGTCGAGGTGGACACTCTTTCCTGCTGTCATCTGGGCAAGCATGCCACTACCCCCTCAAAGCAACACAAGCCAAGTATGGCAAGTTTGCATACAGTTCTGCCTTTGGATACTCGGTTCCGACGGGTGGATACCAGCTGGAGCAGCATGCTCCAGACAGCATGCTTGCATTATCAGACGACGGCGGCGATATCTGGCAGACTAGACGACTGGCACTCGATGCACGCTTCGAGGAACCAGAGCTCAATGGCCAGCCTATTCTTGTGTCTGGTTGGAAACCGTGGCCAGATGTGGACATCGAGACCATTCTCATTCCGCCAACGGAGGAAAGGGAGAACTGGCATCTGCGTGCTCACCATGTGCGCACCGGACGTGCTCTGCAAACCTCTGAAGGTGCCTTTGCTATTTACGGATGTCGCAGCGATAATGGCCGTACATTAGGGCCTATGACTGGGGATGATTCTGAGGGGACGATGCATGACAGCCGAAGTGGACTTGTCGTTTCATCGGCTGGGGCTGTTGGCATTGTCGAGCTCCATTCGGCTATTGAGCGGGTTGGTCGTATCGTCCTGGCTGATCCGAACTCTAATATCATTCATGGACGCACGTTGCTACCGTCACTTTCAGTGGACCTGGCAGCTGGCCAGGATTGCTGGTTGGTCTCGGCCGTTTATGGTGTGCCTGACCACCAACGGGATTGGAAGGCAGCTTGGGAGAAGAAGCCAGTTATTCCAGAGTGGCTATTGAAGAGGATGGAGAGTACGGGTCAGAGTTGATTTCTGGTAGATATTCCAATTTGATATTGTGTAATAGCCGGGAACAGTCAGTCTGGAATGAAATATGGGATTTACCCTAGGTACATCTCATTCAGGAAAGGGTTACTGTATTGGGATTAGCCTAAAGTTTTTAAGCTTCTCCGCAATCCGGGGTAAGATACCCACCTGTTACCCCTACTTTTAACCTTCCATTGTCCTCGTCTCTTTTTTTTTTTTTGCCACGCTCAAATCCCCGGGAAAACTAGCATATACGAAGTACTACATACTAGCCTAGAACTTTACCCCCACACGTTCCCCGCCCATCTAAAAGCTGCACGTGAATCAGCCGTGAACATCTTGGACACTTGGGATCTTTGGCTCAGTCCCCAAATACCCTAGCCATGTGAGCAGTAGTAGCGTTCTGCAACCCGTGTCAGACTTGCTTCGGATTCGTGGATGTTTTCATCCATTCCCCCTCGCCTTGTTTCGTGTCCCTGCTTTTTTTCCAATAGGTCGCTCGGTGGCCAGCCAAGACAACTGGGCTTAGAGTTACACCTCTCATAGGCTTGGGCTCGTAGTCTCTTTCCATATTTTATACGTATATCAATTGCCGTCGTCATCTTGAGTTCAGCTTCGTCGTGGGCTATTCTCAAAGAATTCCCTTTAAATTGGCTACTCCCCTCCTCGACTGGAGTCACTGCGATCATCTCGATCAACCCTTTTTATTACTATACAAGATGTCGTGGCTTCTAAAGAAGCTCGTTCACAATGAGGCGATGAAGAATGATCCGAAGGAGATCTACGGATGGAGGGTCTTTACGCTTGCCTGCTCAGTTAGTCTTCCAGCTATGGCAATCACAATAATGCTAGAATTACAGGGCTAATGCTTCCTAGGCTTGTTTTGGTGGAATGCTCTTTGGCATGGACTCCGGTATTATCGGTGGAGTTCTAACCATGCCAGGATTCAAGAAGTGAGATTTCTCTCTGCTCCCTGGCGTCTAGCTATTCTGACCAGTGTCATTGATGTAGGACATACGGCCTAGAGGATATTTCCAAGGTCGCGGAAGCAAATCTATCGGCCAATATCGTCTCCACACTCCAAGCAGGATGCTTCTTTGGGGCTCTGGTTGCCTCCCCGGCAGCAGAGAAATGGGGTAGACGACTTTCCCTAATCGGTACAGCAGTGGTAGCTGTACTAGGAATTGTCTTGCAGACTGCAGCCAGCGGCCACATCGAAGTCATGTACATCGGACGGTAAGACAGATATTCCCGCCTCTAGTCCTCCACCCATCATTGGAAGCTAACATTCATACCTCTAGACTAATCACTGGCTTCGGAGTTGGCGCGGCATCCATGATCAACCCACTCTACGTCGCCGAGAACGCACCACGCGCAATCCGCGGCGGTCTAACAGGTCTATACCAGCTCTTCATTACAATGGGCATCATGCTCGCATTCTGGATCAACTACGGCTCCCTGCTCAACATTGAGGGTCCCGCAATGTACCTTGTTCCACTAGCAATGCAAGGTCTCCCCGCAGTGCTCCTGTTCTTCGGTATGTTGATGTGCAATGAGTCCCCCCGCTGGTTGGCCAAACAAGACCGGTGGGAAGAAGCCCGCGCGACTCTCTCCAACGTGCGCAATCTGCCCTCTGACCACCCATACGTGGAAGAGGAGTTCGCGGCCATTGCCACCCAGTTAGAACAGGAGCGCGCACTTGTCGCTGGGTCCGGCTTCTGGGACCTGATGAAAGAGATGTGGATCATTCCGGGTAACCGCAAGCGCGCGATCATCTCTATCGTCTTGATGATTTGCCAGCAGATGACTGGAACTAATGCAATTAACTACTATGCGCCCCAAATCTGTATGTCACTTCCCCCTCTCCCCCAATATATCACATACCACTGAGGGACCCTCCAGCTAACAAGTCACAGTCGAAAACGTGAGCGCACACTTCTATCTTTAAGCCCCCAAAGTGAAAACACAATCAGATGCTAACCATACCCCATCTCCAGCTCGGCGTAACCGGCAACGCAACCAACCTCTTCGCAACCGGTGTCTACGGCATCGTAAAGATGGTCAGCTGTGGTGTGTTCCTAATCTTTGTAGCGGACTCGCTAGGCCGACGCCGCTCCCTTCTATGGACCTCGATCGCGCAGGGCCTGGCAATGATGTACATCGGACTGTACGTGCGCATTGCGCCGCCAGTTGAAGGTGCACCTGTCATCCCGGCCGGGTATGTTGCGCTGGTGTGTATTTTCCTGTTCGCGGCATTCTTCCAATTCGGTTGGGGACCCGTCTGCTGGATCTACGTCTCCGAGATCCCGACTGCCAGGCTGCGCTCACTGAATGTTTCTTTTGGAGCTGCTACGCAGTGGCTGTTTAACTTTGTTGTTGCCAGGGCTGTGCCGAATATGTTGGCTACTGTTGGTGACAACGGTTATGGGTGAGTTTGGCTGGTGGGCTGGAGCTTTGGATCACAGTGTGGGTTTGCTGACTTTGGGGTGTGTAGAACGTATCTTATCTTCTCGAGCTTCTGTTTCTCGATGTGTGTCTTTGTGTGGTTCTTTATCCCGGAGACGAAGGGTGAGTCGAGTCCCTTGATAGTACATGATGGCGCCTTTTGCTAACTATGGTGTGTCTATAGGTTTGTCCCTCGAGAAGATGGATGAGCTCTTTGGGGTTACGCAGCTGCTTGAAGATAAGAATGCTGACGCGGAGCGAGCCTCTATTGGCGATGGGGATAAGGCGTCCCAGGTGCATGTTGAGAGGGTGCATCAGTAGGGGGTTACTAGTTTAGGTCTAGGTTGAATGTCAATGAATGAATATTGAAAGCGATCAAATTCAAGAAATCAATATCTGGGTTTCGAAGAGTATTCACATCTGTCATCGTAATTTCATAGATATCATCAATCAAAGGACCTGGGTAGGCCGACCCTCTCGAAGGATATGTACAGCGGTCCTAACACCTCGGAGAACCGCTAAACCCATTAATAAAAAAAAGCTAGAAAGAAAAAAAGACATTCGCCTGCGCTATGAACCCACCACATTCGCTTGAATCAAACTGGGAGACCGAAAGTGGAAAAAAAGGAAAGAAAACGACTGGCTCAATCTATCAACCCCGTGGCGATGGCATCATCCAGTCTGCAAATAATGATAGGGGGCAGAGAATGACCAGCGGTGTACCGAACAAACAAAGCGAGAAATTGTAAAAAGAACGGAAAGATCAAGGTGAAATGAAACACGAAAAATCATCCGGCGTAGTTGGTCGGACGCCGACCAAGTAGCCCATGCTGGGTCTGGCTGCGTGTCATGCGGCGGGGAGTAGGATCATCATCCAAGCTCAAACCGCCCATGCCTGATCCGAGACCATTCCGCCGGGGTGAATAAAAGGGGTTGGAACCCAGACCGGGGTTATTCCCATACCGAATGTTGCGGTTAGTGAAATTTGTGGCGGCGGTGGTAGCTGTGGCTATAGTCTCGGTGTCCGAGTCTCGCTCATAATCAGACGCGGGGTCGATTTGCTTTAGAGATTCCATGGTGAAACTATGTGGGTTTCCGTTTTGGTTGAAGGCGTTCTGATTGGCAGCGGGGAACGAATGGACAGTTCGAGACGAGGTAAGCCCATACTGTGGCACGGAAGGTAATGCTGAAGAGAAACTGGAAGCTGCATCGGTATCGCCAAATGAAAGTGGAGGAGCGGATGGTTGTGACCCAAATGATCGGTGCACAGGCGGGCTGCTGGCTCGAGGCTCAGGTGTGGACTTGGATGAAGATTGACTTCCGGCCCAGTCAAGGGCACCCGATTGACTCGAATGCGGTGGTTGTGATTGTGGCTGTGGCTGTGGTGATCCAGATCCTGAGTTTTGTTGACTTTCTAACCTGACCTTATTGTAGAATGATAGCACATTCATAGTTTCCTGTGCGGCCATGAAAATCAGGAGGAGTTTGCCATAGCGATCGAAGTAGTCTCGATTAAGCGAAACTGTGGGTAAATGTGCCCCCATGTGAACAGCGACGCCAAGTTCGGTGATAGAGATCAAAATTTCCATTCCATTCCATTGCACAAGAGGCCTTTTTACCATGGTGATCAAAGCGAACCCTGCAACAAGGCTTGCCGCGCCTAGGGCAGCGATCTCCACGTAATTTCCTGGAATCAAGATCTCGTGATTTTGAGAGATACTCCATGCGCTGATGAAGCTGACTAGCAGGCCTAGTCGAAGACACCCATAGAAGAGATAACTTTGCGTCTCGTCGAGAGACGAGCCCTTGTTCCGCAATTGCTCAGACCAGCTAGGTTCTTGGGCGGCATCGGGCTGGAAATTGAAAGCACGGTCAAACAGCGTTTCCAGTCCAGTTGATGTGTCATGATCATCAGGAGGAAAGAATTTTGGTTCCTTGAACACTGGTTCAGCATCGACACAACTTTGCTGCCATTGGCCTTGTGGTTGGATAGGACTGCGATGGAACGGATTAGGCTGAATTACTTGCTCGATCGGTTTCGTTGAAGTCTGGGTGCGAAGCTTCCACGCAGGAGGCGTCGGGGCAGCTGGGATCTGCCCCTGGAATGGATGAGGACCATCGAGCACAGATGGCTGATCTCGTCGTGTCACAGTCGGTCGGAGGTTATGGGTAACAGAAGGGGACCAGTCCATGCCATCATTATCCGTATGGTTAGAGGCAACCATAGGCGGCTGCTCGACGGGTGACGTAGGTTGAGGCTGGGCCAATTTGTTAATTGGAAAGCGCTGCTGTAATCCACCATTGTTCGCCTTCGGTGTTCCGCCAGATCGTGTGATGCGAGTCGACACAGGTGACTCAGGCAATGCGGAGGAAGATGCCTTGGGGACTTCGAATTGGGTTTCCCAGCTGTTATCAGACCAATTGACGAGTGGACGACTAGAGTAGCCGACAACATATCGAGAGAACCAAACCGACTGTCACAAGTTAGCATATGGAAAGCAAGCTCAAGGGTCAAGGCATACTCACCAGAATAGTGAAACCCATCATTAAAGCATGCAAGGCCGGAATCAATTTGGGTTCTAACCCACTGGCAGACGGATCCTTGACCACTGCCCAGAAAACACATCGTACCACCATGACGATGAGTTGAGTTTGGTAGTACTCTGCAAGACCGCTGAATTTACCTGGCATTCCGTCTATCTTCATGCGCAGCTTTGGATTCCACCACAGCGAAAGTGCACCTGCGATCAATGCCAGACCAGCAGTTGGTGCTAGGTCAGGCGAACATTCTCCTGGAATGCGTTGTAAACGGATAGACTGGCTGACGCACGAGATTATAGAGATGGGTGCGGTTGGAGGTTGTTCGGTGTCGGGTAAATAATCGAAACTTGGCGAGACCTCGGAGAGGGTGGCTGCACTGATCAAGTTCCAGGATAGCTGACCTGCAATACTAGCCCAATATGAAAGTGCACCCACAAGAAGAAGCAAGCTTCTCCAGCTCCGGTTCCTCGCCTGTCGTGATTCTCGGTTTGCTCGGCTTTGATCCATCATGCGCCTGAGGTGATCCGATTTCGCTTCATAGCCAGCTTTTCTGATGCGAGATTTCACAATGGGTTCGCAAGACTCGCAAACCTGGGGGTATCGGTCCTCTAGGCTTCTGCGGAACTGCTCATACCCGCGTTCGTATTCGCTATCGGTGGGATCGTCCGAAGGGGGAAAGTAGGAGGCCAGTGAGCTCGTGAATAGATGCTGATTCCGAGCACATTTGGCGCAAAATGACTGGGATCCACTGAAATCAGTTGATTCGAAGGGCGGTTCTGATGCGCCAGGCGCGTAGGCTTCAGCGTTGGTGACCACAGCTGGTGGGTCAGTAATTTCTCCTTTCTGTTTCGAGAACAGTCATTAGTAAAATATAAGTAGATTCGAGGGAAGAATCAATAAACATACCTCGTCAAAGAAGTTATCAGCCTCACAATGTTCACAGCGGAAATTGCGAACAGGCCCACGATGAGAGAGAGCGGACCGCTGCCCACAATAAAAGCAGGTCAAACGCTTAGAAAATAGAGAAGCCATGACATAGTAACATGGAAAGAACCACAAGTGGAAGTGTTGGTGTAAACAAGGGAGACGGGTTCCGGATGCCAAAGAGGAAGAAAATAAAACCAGTCGGAGCTTTGCACGTGCGGGGGACGTGTATGGAGTACCGCGACTCCAATTTTATTATCCGCTTGACTACCTTATTGACATTGTTGTTGCCTGCCATTCATTCATTCAATCATTCATTCATTCTATTCATTCTATTCTATTCTATTCATTTCATGTTATTCTTCACCTCTATTATTATGATAATGATGTACTAAAATCCTCGGGTTGTCTCACTGAACTCTTGAGACCGTGGACAAAGATGACCTTCTCTCTTGCTTCTTTATCCTTCTGGGACCTGCTCCTGTGGTGTTTTGTCCTGGCAATTACACTTGGAGCCAGCATTCTCCTTGTGAGTACCATTTATTTATACAATTGAATCAATCTGACTGGTTTATCTCTCCTAGGTTCTACTCATCTCCCTCACGATCTCCCAGAATATCATTCCCCCAAATGTCGCGCAAGGGGATCTCCTACGCACCTGTTGGTAGTCCTTGGAAGTGGTGGTCATACAGCTGAGATGCTTTACATTCTTGAGCGCATGAAACTCGACCCCAAAATCTACACGTATCGGACATACCTCGTGAGCTCCGGAGATAACTTCAGTGCAGACAAAGCTAAGGATTTTGAGGCTCAACATGTACAAAATTCTCAGGGCCATGCCCATAACAACAACTATACCATTGTCACAGTACCACGTGCCCGACGAGTCCATCAATCCTATCTCACCGCGCCATTCTCAACGCTTCAATGTTTCTGGGCTTGTCTCAATGCTCTTCGCGGACTACACCCAGACCAAAAGCTCCCAAAGGAGTACATCTCGCCTTACCCTGATCTAATCCTCACGAACGGTCCTGCTACGGCAGTGTGCGTTGTCGCAGGCGCAAAACTCATCCGCTTCTTTCTGTGTTTGGCCAAATTCACTGCCTTGTGTCTGGGTCTGCGAACATTCTCCTCGTTTAAATCGACACCAAAACTGCGCACTATTTACATCGAATCATGGGCCCGGGTGAGCTCGCTCAGTACCTCTGGCGTCTTGCTGTTGCCTCTGGCCGACCGTTTTCTTGTTCAATGGCCTACCCAGGCCGGACGACGGGCCTGGTGGGGGATGAAGAGAACGCAGTATGCAGGATGGCTTGTGATCTAAGTGCCGTATATCTACATCGGCTTAGTCTATTTCAACAGTGTCTTCGATCTGATAGTTGCAGATATCACAAGATATGATGTTCTCGCCAGCTAGGTATCTAGGTAAGAAATGAATCAAATGAATCGATTGATTCGTGCTAGTTTCCTCTCCACACACAGTCATTGTAGACACTACTCGACTATATGCCCCTTTTTATTCCCCACGTAGATAACTCAAGACCAGAGCAAGCGTATGCAGAATGTCCGTGTACCTGGACTGTGTCTAACTAGGTATATAGTTAGTTACATTACACATGGGCATAGTTAGTGTGTTATATAAAAGCCGAAATCGTTCCTTAACCACTGAGAAAAGCTCAGACAAAACGAGGTGAGTGGTTGACTTCTTCTCTTCCAGTCGTCTAATAACTCTTCAAAGCTCCTGTTAATTTCAATTTCATATTAATTGTTGTGACTTGTGCTTTAATCAACCCATACTTACCCCGCATCGGACGTTCCTCGGCAACTCCCTTAACCTCTTCTGTGTATTTCAATCTTATATATCTGTCTCTCTGTCTCTCCTCTTTGAACCAAAGCAATTGAGAATTCTACTCACCATGCCTTACTCCTTGTCAGGTCGCAATGTCTTGATCACTGGTGGCTCACGGTAGGAATCTTCAATTTGAGCGTGAAACTATACTCTGGTTAATAAGCTAACCACGTTTAACAGAGGGCTAGGTGCTCTTTCAGCTGAGAAATTCGCCTCAGAGGGAAGCAACGTTGCTATCAATTATATGTCCAACAAGGAGGTTGCGGATAAGCTTGCCTCGAACATTGCAAGCAAATATGGTGTAAAGGCTGTGGTTATTCAAGGCGTAAGGCACTAAATCCAATGACCAGGGTTATTTTGCCTAGAATTGATGCGCTGACATTGTCTTACATCTGGAAATAGGATGCTGGAGTCAAAGATGACTGCATCAATGCCGTCAAAACCACAATTGAGAAGCTGGGTGGCTTGGATATCATTATCTCAAATGCCGTGAGTTATACAGTCAATCCCAAGAGGTATGGGAAATGCTGATACATGAGAAGGGATGGACAAAAATGACCAACTTCGGTGATCTTGATGCCATGGACGACGATGACTGGGATAAGGTACCGAATGCACCCACGGTAATCGAAGTTCTTGTTTGGCTGACTATTGAACCAGTGCTGGTCGGTTAATGTCAAGAGCAGCTTTTACCTGTTCAAGGCAGCTTTGCCCACGTTCAATGCGAACCCGGAAGGTGGCGTTTTCCTCATCACAGCCTCGATTGCGGTAAGCTGCCCGAAAATAGGCTAAATGGCCTTGAACTGTCCACTACTATAGCAACGTTGAAATGCTAATTGCGGGGTCTTTTCCAGGGCGTCATGCCAAGTGGAAGCAGCTTGCCTTATGCTGTCTCGAAAGCCGCATGTATGCTATCGTTATTATAAATCATGCTGTTTGGTTACTGACTCTGTATCACCCAGCTATCCATCTCATGAAGTGTCTTGCTAAGAGCCAAGGCGCCAAAGTTCGCGTCAATGCGATTCTTCCTGGTCTGTTGCTCACTGAATGGGTAAGTAGCACATGTTCAACGCTAGCATTGACGAATACTGAGAATATCCCAGGGTCAACGCTTCCCGTCCGATAAAATCGAGAGCTGGACAAATGCGACAGCCCTCAAGCGAGCAGTAAGCAATTCTGGTCTCCCTCAACCTTAGAAAAGGACCTTGTGTGCTAATAAATCTCGCGGTAGCCCGAGGTGGAAGACTGCGCGGATATGTTTATTACCTTGGCCAAGAATGCTTCTATAACCGGTCAAACTGTTCAAATTGGTATGAGTCTCAGGTCCAGCGTGTTGGGTTGAAACTGACAATCCTTTTAGATTCTGGCTTCGGGATCTGATAGAAATGAGGAACTGGAATCGTATTGTTAAAACATAGGTGATAGTACACTGAACATTATCATATTTATACAAGAGAGTTGCGGAAGGGAGTCAGTTCCCGACCTTCATATTGGAAAGCTCGATCACCGAACATGCGAGCTTTGATAGCGGCTCGCAGACCCTCTGCATCTTGTTCACCTTCCACTTTCATCCGGTTGATGCGCAGAACCTTGCCATCAGCAGTAAAAACGTATAGCTTCCGTGACTTCTTTGGCTCTACGGGGTGGGAAGCATTTGTAAACGGCAGACCTGGGAGGATTGAGAACGAACCGCATCCCTCAGGCGGGTCAACCTCCTCGGTATCTGTGAGAATGACTCGTTTCTGTTGGAATGATAGAGGCCCATCTGCAGGATTGCTTGCACAGAGGGCCTTACTCCAGAGAGGTCCAATCACTCGGTTACGTCTGTTGATTTCTGCCAAGGTCCAGTTTGTCCAGTTGATGTGCCGGTCCTCTGGTGTGATTTTAGGTGCAACCTTCAACTTGCCGGTTTGTTCAGCACCAGTATTTGCAATGGGAGGGATAAATAGACCCTTTTCAATGCTTTCCACAAGCATTTCTGCTCCTTTAGGTGCAACAAAATCCACCAACTGGGGGACGGTACATGACTCTGGATTGGGGATGTCGAACCCCGGGGCCGGCGTTTGTGATATTATCACTCCGTGATCAAAGTATTTCGAATGCAAGGTCTGAACTGTCACACCAGTAGTGGTCTCGCCGGCGAGAAGAGCATGATGAAGCGGCGCAGGACCACGGAAGCTAATCAATCAGCTTAATCGTCTTCTTTAATTCTGCATATAAAAATCACATACTTTGGTAATAACGAGGGGTGCACATTCAAGCCTCCATACTTGGCATCATTCAATATGCGCGGCGGAATAAAAAGTCCGAATGATACAGCAATCACCAAGTTTATGTTACCGTTCGGGGAGGACGGGGGCTAGCACAGTCAGCGAAGAGGTCAATTTGGTTGAGTTTCGGTATTATGTACTGTCCATCCAGTGAAGGTATCAATCTCATGGATCGGAAGGGAGAGAGCAGATGCGGCCGCTTTGAGCGGTACTGAGGGAAATTGAATCAGCAAACGCGGGCATTCAAGGAAGCGTAAATTGAAGCTAACCTTCCCGAATTTGTTTCAGTCCTCTTCCAACTCTCTTTCCAGGTCTACAGATGACATCAATGGAGGAAATACGCTCCGGCTGTTTCAAATGATAAGCATGGAGAGCTTTCAAGTGGGCGATACTGAATTGATCAGAGCCGCAAAAGAGAATGCGGAGTGGATCGGAAGTCTTGGTAGCATAGAACCTGAAGGCAAGCCGTTGAAGGCCCACCGGTCTCCTACAGAAACTTAGACTCCCTGGGCCTGGAATAATCCACATAGTTCTGGTGGATAATTGCCAGAAGTTGAAAAGCCACCACGAGAGAAAGTTGAAGCTTCCCTTGTAGTAGCTTATCGATAAACCACGTGATGTCAACATCCACCCCAGATCCCACTTCAGATGCATCTGTCTTTCAACCATTATCGTTGTTGCCTGTCTGGTGCGACCTCCAGACGTCATCCAACGATGCGATGACTGAAAGTGATCATGATTCGGTGATTCCAGCGCAACTTTCCTACCTTGCCATCTATAACCCGACCCTCGGACCTACCGACGAGACGATCGCGGACCAGATCGTGTTCTATACTTCGAAATCGAGCTATGCACGGCGCATCGATAACCCCACTGCAGAAGGCGAAGCAAACAAATGTCTTGAAGATGAAGGGAATGAGAGGTTGCGCCAGATAGGTCTGGCGCAGGGCATGGTCAACTTTGCGAGGTCGGCATCTCCGCAAACCCCGCAAATGAACCAATCTAATCGTGCTTGATATACAGTAATTTCTCAGCTGGCAAGACCCTAGAATATGTCGAAACAGACAAATCGCGGGTCGTTCTACTTGAGTTGGAGAAGGACTGGTGGATTGTTGCCGTAAGTGGTTGAGATAACGGCACAGATCACAAAAAGCTTATGTTAAGCCAGTCAATCGACCTGACCCGAATTCCCGCCGATACTGCCCAGAGATCCTCTGGAGGATCCGACTCTCCGGCATTTCATTATTCGTCACGAGAGATGGGACCGCCGCCTCTACTGGTCCAGCAACTACGTCGCGCCCATTCGGAATTCCTTCTACACCATGGCTTCAAATTGGATGACATCCTCCATCAAGCCGGCAGGTCCACATTTTGTCTGTTCCTTGAGCGTTTCTGGGAGAAATTTGCGTGGAATTGGGAACTTCTGTTGACCGGAAACCCAATTGTCGAAATCTATAATGGCATCAAACTTTCTGCGGGAGGAGAGTTGGGGATCGGCGTCGGGGAAGAAGAGTGGGGCAGCGGGGAAAGAGAAGTACTTGAAGACTTTGTGACAAGGACCGACGGGTTGGTGGACTTGGTTGTCTCCAGGTTTGGCGATTCATCTTCACAGCTCGAAGGGTCTCGGGCTTTGGCAGGCTCAAATAACCAAAATCGGTGGCTTGGGACAGATAATGATCCTCGACCGTCCGATGGTGTAGTGTTTACTGGTGTTGGTGCTCTTTCTCGGCACTCGTTGGCGCATTTATCACATTGGATGGAATGCATTTATCGGTTTGGGGATGCTGCGTATGGAGTTGGGCGGGACCCAACCTCGCTGCGTCGCCGTAAACCACGAAAGCAGCGTGGAAGACAAATTTCGGAAGATACCCCTCAGCCCTCCACGCCGGATCACAATTTTAAGCCAGGGATACCTCGTCCACTCATAATAGCGGCACCCCAGCCGTCACCCCCGGAAGTCATTGAGGAAAATCAAGCAGGGACAAGAAATGAGGCATCGCCACTTCGCACCGGGCAAAGCAGCGAGAACCTAGGGTTCCCAACTGAGGCGGTCATGAAATACCTTACTCTTGGATATGGCTCCTCTTGGAGTTTCTCTCCGAAGTCGACATCTACGCCGCCTGAAAGTTCTACTCCAATGCGAGATGAATCCACTTCAAACATGTCAACCCCGCGGGATCAGCCCATTGGCGCTGTACAATCGCCTCCGGCCGGCATAAAATATCCAAGCAGCATGAAGAACAGTCCTTCGGGTGGTTTTGTTCTTGGACCTCGTGATGATCTAGAAAAATTGGATGATTTAGAAGAAGGAAGCCCAGAGCCCGAATCCGAGAACGGCAAGTCCAGGACTCGAATAGTGCATAGAACACTACATGTCCACCTGGCAGATGGGTCAGATACCACTCCGACAAAACTCCAGGTCGTGATATACGTGGTATGTGTTTTTCTTACTATATTACCCAAATCAGCTCACTAATACACCACCCCAGAATCAACCATTCATGTTCACATTCCTCTTTGATCCTCAAACACCAGCATTATCTTCGCCATTGCTATACTCAAGCATGCACCACCAGCTCGGTCCTCTTCAGAAACCCCTTCTATCATCAACATCCCCAATAATGGCAGCCTCTCGAATCGCCATGTCCGAGACCTCCCCGGACCCCAACAAGCGCTTCTCCACTCGAACACAGCCAGTTTACGATCTAGTTTACGACCCATCTAACCTAACCATCCGCTCCTCCATCCCCAACATCCCCAGCATGAGCGTCACCTCCTCCGCCCAACCAACCAGCTCACCATCCCGCACCCCCTCCCCCTCCCAATCATCAACCCAACCACCCTGGTCCCGTGTTGAAAGCCTAGCGATTCACCACCGCCTCCTATCAACACATACAGACACGCGGTCCCGTCCGCAGGAGGTTGAACGCACAAGCAAAACCCACCGCGGATGGTGGGTCGTCTGGGTCCGCATCCCACAGAGCCCAACCCAAACTCCAACCGCGCTATCCACCACTTCTTCATCCGTCGCCCTCTCATCCATAACCAACAATGATGGTGCCTTTCCCGCAAATCAGTTCCAAGTGCACTCTGCTCCTCCGCCTCAGGAAGCCTTCCTCGTCCGCAGAGCGAGTGACTACGTCTCCCCGGCAAGCCGTGTCAGCAGTGGCACTCGCTTCTTCCGTGATCTAGGCGGTGCCTCTTCTCCGGTTGGGCTGACGGGGTCTTCCCGTGCGGATATGGCGCCGTCGAAGCTGGTTGAGGGGCTTGGCATGGACGCTAGGCGCTATATTGAGGGTCTGTTGAGTTTGAATCGGTAGTTGGAATGTGGCTTGGTGGAGTGGAGTGTGGAGTTGTGGGGTTTCTTGTATGTGTTTCCTCAGAAATAGGTACATAGATGTGCCACTGAAACTACATCATTTGAACATGGATATTGAAATTGTTTAAATACATTAATAGTTGGAAGGACTCATATTTTATATCTTAATGGATGCTTGGCTACGCAGACTACAGGATTACGCATGAGAAAGTACAGACATCAGATGGAAATAGACAGTACCATGCATAAGCTGTAACATAAAAACAGATGTAGTAAAGGAGGGAGAGAAAAACAGTAAAAGCCGAATCAAGCTCTTCGCGTATGGGGAGATAACCGCAGGGACAAGAATCTATGACACAGGGGGAACTCGACCAGGGAAGGCGAGTCACGGCGTTGACCAAATTGCACAACCGGTGCTACACTGAATGGCTTCCCCTCTTCATCTCCTGGTAGTTCCAATTCTGAGTTCTTTTTTTCGATGCTTTTCGGTTGGTTTATAATTGTCACCTCAACGTGGCGGTTTGGCATTTGAAAATTCACGGCGTCGGAACGAGGAGAGGAAAAGAAAAAGAAAAGCCCACAGTGTTATGATGAAGACAACGCCTCCCTAGACAAATTCTGCAAATAAAGGCAAAAGAAAAACACAAGGTCGACCAACTGAATTGTGGGGGGAAACCTCCACGACTCGGGTGCCCGGATTCGATATTATCCACAATTTCGCATGCAGGCCATGAAGCCTTCCTCCTTTCCGAGAAAAACGTCACCAATTGCTTTTCGTGGAGGCTCTCATACATGATCTTTGCTCGAGCCAGACCACCTCAACAATTGGTTCGTTTAGAGAATCAGGCAGCCCTTGCCAGGCTTGCGGCCTCCCTTGCCCTTAACGGCCTTCAGAAGAGCAGCACGAGTGGCAGCCTCGAAGACCTCACGGACACCCTCGTTGGTGCGAGCGGAGCACTCAAGGTACTTGTAGGCACCGATCTTCTTGCGGACTTCCTCACCCTGTAGTTATATATTAGTTTATATTGGATCACTATAGGGGCCGGAAAGGTGTACCTGGTCTTGCGAGACGGGGCGCTGGGATGTCTTGGCAAGCTCATCAATAGTCTTGCGGTCGTCGCGAAGATCCTTCTTGCAGCCGACGAGGATAATAGGGAGACCCTGGCAGAAGTGCAGAACCTCAGAAATCCACTATTGTGGTACGTCAGCACATTCGGTCCACTTCACACCCAAACATTTCTTTGCTTCGGGATATGCAATCGAGAGATAAGACACCCACCTTCTCCTGGACGTTGTCGAGCGAATCGGGTGAGTCCACAGCGAAACAGATCAGGATCACATGTGAGTCGGGGTATGAGAGAGGACGGAGACGGTCGTAATCTTCCTGGCCAGCAGTATCCCAAAGAGCGAGCTCGACGTGCTTGTTATCAACCTCGACATCGGCGACGTAGTTCTCGAAGACTGTGGGGACGTAGACCTGACGGAAACAAAGTCAGATTATCCTTCTTGAATTATGCTTCTCCGTCGTATATTCCTGTGTCGTGATTTCGGGAATCGAAGTTTCGAGTATGAATGGAAGCTTACCTCGGGGAAGGTACCCTTGGAGAAAACACTGTGAACTTCAAGTCAGACGGCCGAACCAAAAAAAAAGTGAACGCGGAGGTTGGGGGAAGCGCCCTCGATAAGAGAGCCACTTTCAGTACTCACATGAGCAGACAGGTCTTACCGCAGGCACCATCGCCGACGATGACGAGCTTGCGACGGATCTCGGCCATCTTGATAAGGAACAAGTCAGTATAGGGGGCAAATAATCAACAAAGGACCTGGGAACCCCGCAAGTCCTAGAATTTTTCAAGAATGAAGGATGTCTACAGGCATGAGGGGGTGACAGAAACAAGACGATCAAGAAGAAAGGGCGAAGCCAGGCTCCCGAGGAGGGGGGAAAAGGAAAAGGGTGATCCCATACAGTGTTCAAAGGCGCAACGGTGTAGTAGTTTTAAATGTAGTAAATCAGCTAGTGCTAGTAGCAATAGCTCTAGAGAAATGAAGAAGATGGAATAGGTATTTCCGATGGGAAGCGATGAAAAAAAGACGATGGAATGATGATTTGGAGGTGGAGGAGAGAAAGATAGAAGACCAGGCCAGACAACGGAGGGCGGTGGCAGTATACTGGTATTTGTTGTTGCCCGTTAGTGTATCGGGTATTGTGGCTTTTTTTCAACCCCCCAGATGTATCGACTTGTGTGGTTCAAATGTTGTCTTAAAAGTACTGACTCAATACAGTGTCACAGCATTTGGTATCGGTATGCATGTGTACATAACATTTGAAGTACGTTACCTTTAGTTACTGCATACTATCGTGTCTATAACCAATCTACAATGAGCATATGTATCACACACACACACACACACACACACACATATACCCCATGTGTACCCCCTGGATTTCAGGCTGCCCTTTTTTTTTTTTCCTTACATGTGGCTTACACCTCTCCCCTTTTCCAAGGTTAGAAGAGAGAAAATGAGAACTTAACGGGTGCACAGCCCTAAATATGTGTGGCTGAGGTCCAAAAAAAACCCGCTCCATCCACATCACCCGGTCCACTTTGTCACTTTTGTCCACACAGCCAGCACAGCCACCCGTGGCTATGAAATTAATGGTATCTGATATGAGCAAAATGTGATATCAGTTTCGTCCTCTGATGATGCTATCTTCTCTGGATTTCACTAATATCATTTGGTTTTCACTGATTCAGGGACTCATGTGATTCTCTTTGAGAGCTTGAGCAAAAACCGCATATCCAGCAACATTCACCGCATAGAAAAATGAAGGGCTACTACAATATCTTCTTAACTCCACGTCCTCAATTTCATGTATGATGTACCACCCTACTGGGATGTGCAAGCCTGCACAGACAGTGTCTCCTACAACATACGCGGCTACCGCCAGAGCTACGGGAGCACACTGGCAACCTTTAACCAACCCGCTTGACTTGTCCAGTGAAGATCGCTCCGATGGTTCCCTGCATCTCAGTTGTTTCTGGCGTTGATCTGCTCCATAGCTCTGGACATGTACTGACTACGTTATAGGTGGGTGTTTTTAATGATCTCATACTCTCTGCTGGTCTTTCTGCTGGCAACCCCCGTCTCATTTGCTACTGCATCTAGGGGGGTCCCAACTAACTTGAATGCGTTGTCAAACCACTGGGAGAATTAAACCATGGAATTTTGATCTTTACACATCCGAATCATCAAACCTTTACCCCCTTTGCTTTCTTCTGGGCTTACATGACCTGACAACATTCTTGAAGCTGCTGTTTGGAAAGTGGAGCTGCTATATTACCACCTCCAATGATTGCGCCGTGCCGGCTATAAATAGTAAACAGGGGCCAAATCCTGGAGCTTGCGCCCACAAGCCACAAGCCGTTAGGATGTTTTCTTGGGAATAAAAAATAGGAGGATATAATCCTTTCCAGCACTTTAGCGTTTCGTCCAGCGCCAACAGAATCTATACACACTTGAATTATTTATTAGTGTCGGTTCATTTGCCGCTCAACAATATGGATTAATTCACAGTTTCGATGGCCGTGGTCTGGTGGACTTGACGATCGACCTAACCATACAAATACAACCCCATGACAGATTTCTTTCCTCATCTCAAACTCGGTTTTGGCTACAGACAGGATCAAAGCATACCCAGACTTCGGGGACAAGCTAACCAAGATAAGAACACAAGGATGAGCAAATGCGGCTTACAGAAAGGGCTTTTCGATCCAGTTCCACGTCTTGATACCGCTGGACCACGCAACATATCAGTCTCCACGAGAAATACTCGGTGTCTACTTTTGGCCCGACTTATCTTGTGTCCAACAAGAATTGGAAAGTGAATATCTTTGTTCTTCACACTCATCTTCGGCATTCTATCGGTCTCTTATGGTCGTCCTTGAAGGCTTGCGTTATGTCATCCCTAAAGCTATGATGCCGTGCCGGTACACACTCTCTCCTGTGGTCATAATTATCCAGCGCCTAAGAAGGAACTCAAATTACGTGTCATAGGCGTGAATGTGCATCTCACAATCCGTGCTTCTGCTTCTTGATTCTACGAACATGGTTGCAGACAAGTGTTACTCTGATCGACATTCAAAATCTAAATAAGCTCTACTAGGAAACGACCTGTGCAGTGAATCAGAAGGTCCCAAACACATATATAGCTATGTGGATTGTCGGGTACTACTGCACTGCTTAATGGCCATCAGTGATCTCCAAATCCTCGGATATAGACCTTTAATCATGGTGTTGCCCGAATATCTTTTTGATATCATGATGGCAAGATGAAACTTCCAATGTGAACATGATCTGTGATGGAGGGCTGCCTATACAGGGACATATCCATAAACTCTGGGTTTTGTCGACATCAGCTTTTGTTGGCGTTGTTGAGACCTGTCGATCGTTCCTGGCCTTCATTGTCACTTTTCCATGAGTGTTTTGTTCCTCGCAAATATAGAGGGTTGTGTGCAACTAGATTTCAAAGAAATTAGTAAAAAGGCGTCGTTTGAATCGCCAACTAGCATGTAGCAATGCAAAATGAGGGCTGGTCCTGAATGTGTACAGGCGGCGCTTGTGCTGACATAATGCGTATTGACCTTGATCACGTGGTATGTCGGACACCCTCAATTTTCGATCCGCGAATCGGGGATTCTGAGGCAGAGACAACGTTCGGCCATTGCTGGACCACAACATTCAATATGCAGAGAGTTATCCAACGGACAGCTTCAGCGCGGAAGCAAGCTCTTAAAAGAACCAACAAAGCTCATGAACGACAGGAATTGTTGGAGCGTGTTGGGATTCGGCGGGCGCGGAAGGACTTCGGCGGCGCGCTGTCTAGTCAATTCCAAGCAGCACGAAAGAACCGCTGGGAGGATTGGGAAAAGGGGCCTCTCGCTCCCATGCGAGACTCTGGTCTGCAGCGCACTACATATGGTGGTCAGGATGCTTCCGTCTTGCACCCGCCGCGCCTCCCTAAACACGAACAACGGAGGCATGTCCTCTTCGCCGAAGGTGACCGGGTCTGCGTTGTGCGAGGACGGGATCAAGGAAAGATCAATGTGATTCAACAGGTCAACCGGGACAGTGAGACTGTCCTCATCAAGGGTATAAACATGGTATGTCTTCAGCGAACCATCCATCCAGGTCAATGACCTCTTGGTCACTAAAACAAAACGCTCACTACTGTGTCTTAATTAGGCCGACGTGGTCATTCCCGAATGGGCCAAAGACAGGATGGGACACGCCGGTGATACCCAGCCACAGTCCTTCCCCGTATCCTTCGACGACATCCGACACGTCATTCCGTTGGAAGACACGAAGACTGGAAAGATGCAAAACGTCATTGTCCAGCACGCTTATGCGGCTGGGCCGTACACCGAGCGAAGTGAGCACAGCAAGCTCCCAAGATTCACTCGCTATGTCTCCGGCTTGGACGTCGAAATCCCTTGGCCATTGGAGGAAGAGCCTGTCATTACCGATGGCGAAATGGACACAACACGAATGGCGGTTGAGACCAGCACATTCACACCCACACTGGAGCAGCCACCTATGCCCTCAACCGTCATTGATGAGCTGCGCAACAAATACTCCAGATTCCGCACTCGACACGATCCGGAATACCTCAAAGAGAAGATGAAGGAAGACTATCGCAAGGAATACAGAAACTCTGTCTCCATGATGACACCGAAGACAGATGCCAAAAACTTCAAGATTGCCCAACTTGCGGAGGCGAGAAAGGCGAACCTGGATGCCAACGGAAATGGGATATTAACACCGGATGCCATCAACTTCATTAACAACCACATCCAAAACGAATCGCGTCTCAAGAAGCCAAAGAAGTCCAAGTCAAAGTCCAAGCAGACAGCTTAATTGGGCGAAGAAGATGGAAGTCGGAAGAGGGGTTTTTTTTTCCTGTAGCATTGTGTACACACACCACTGTATTCTAGTATGAAGCTTTGCATTCACTCATATATCTATTTCTTGATTAAGTTATTTCGAATTTCATCGTTTGAATTCATATAGAGTACGTAGATGTCCATACAAAGTAGGGCTCCAGTCAATGCGGATACTTCGGGCCCACCCATACGTTCATCCCCCAATTCTCCGACTAACCTGCATCTCCCTGCACTGCTGTTCTCTTGAACCAAAGCAGTCGCAAAAAAGAAAAAAAAATGGCATTTGCCTCAATTAATTCTAAGGGCGCGCCCATCGCCGCCATCGAGGAGGCATTTGCGACGGAACCATTGCTGAAGAAGCGAGTCTACGATGCGATCGGTGCGTAGCCAACAGCGCACCCACGTCCCCATTCGATGATCCCGTCGAACACCTACTGACTGTCGCCAATGGGTTTCATGGTTTAGGTACAACACCGCAGCATAAACCTCTGCTCGAAGATCTTGCGAAATATACCTCCAGCCTGCTGGCCAGGACTGCCAACACTACCCTCCCTTCGCGGCCCCCAGCCGCTGATGGACCTGCCGCTAAAAAGCGCAAGCTTCAGAATGGAGACTCTGGGGAGACTGCGCAGGCGTCAGTCAACCTGAAAGATGGCAATGCGCCAGTGCTATTTTATGTTCAAGATGTTTCGTTCTCTACGCCACAGAGGAAGAAGCTTACGCTTGAGATCACCGCTGGGCATAAATATCTTCGGGCAAGGAACCAAGCTACGAAAGAGATTGAATTTGGTGTTTCTATGGAGAAGATTCGTGAGTTTGACCCAGAAAAATAA